CAAAATGGCGGCCAACTTTGAAATTTCTTATGGAACACCTTATATTTTATCATGTTTTTGGATAGAACAGGCAATTTAAAAACTTTTTTATTCTTGACATTTTTTCGATAAACCCACTCGTTTAGGAGTTACAGCCTATGGAAAAATGACTTCCGGTGTACATTTTACATCATGTAGCTCCTAAACAAGTAGGTTTATAGCGAAAATTCGAAAAGTAAATAAGTCAAATAAGTCTTAAAATTGCATCCACATTCCAAAAGGACCATAAAATTCGTTAAAACTATTAATTCTATTATTTTAAAAATGGCGGCCATTTTCCAAAATGGCGGAAAACCTGAAAAGTGGAAAACTGTGTATTTTATGGTCTTTATGGAATGTGGATGCAATATTAAGACTTCTTTGACTTATTTACTCATCGCATTTTCACTATAAACCTACTTGTATAGGAGCTACATGATGTAAAATGTACACCGGAAGTCATTTTTCCATAGGCTGTAACTCCTAAACGAGTGGGTTTATCGAAAAAATGTCAAGAATAAAAAAGTTTTTAAATTGCCTGTTCTATCCGAAAACATGATAAAATATAGGGTGTTCCATAAGAAATTTCAAAGTTGGCCACCATTTTGGAAAATGGAGGCTGAATTTAAAAAAAATAAAATCATATTTTTAACTGCCACAAAAAATAAAGGAATGTCCCGCATTTAAAGTTTTCTCTAATTCTTACCGTTTTCGATATCCCAATGGTGGCATCCTTGAGTTGATCACCCTGTATACCGTCACTACTCACTAACTATGGGATCGTTGTCGTAGTATTTATCTTATTAGATTTTTCATATTTAAAGGCCTATCTGCCAACTTCCCATCTCGAGGTCAAAAAATTAATTTAAAATGTTAATTCAGTATGAATTTTAGTTTGTTGAATGTTAAAATTTATTTTCAGTTTTATTTAAACAAAAATTAAAATACTCGATAGAATATAATGTGCCTTAGCCATACTGAAAAATGAATCCTAGATCTCCTTTAACATGTTGACTATTACCGAGTCATAAGAAAAGGTTGTATTACCAAATTACTTATATTTATGTTATGTTCATATAATTAGTACACCAATAAACTGTTTACTATTACTATGGGCCTAGCTTGTTTGTTTCTTTGTATTTATGTTATGTTCATATAATTAGTTCATCAATAAAATTGTTACTGTTGCGAAGTATAACTTGTTTGTTTCTTTGTACACCATAGTAATAAAATTACACATAATTTTAAGCTACAATAATAATTGGGATAGGCCTACCAAAATATAAATATTTTTGGTTCAGAATGATTGTTCTTTATTTGTGACAGTTTGCTGGTAATTAACTTATTTCAGGTTACAAATTAACATTGTTCTTAGAAGTCCTAATATAATTGGAGATGGGGAGTGAGCTGGTCTAGTGGTTAGAGTGCGAGACTTCATTCCCTGAGTTCCGGGTTCAAATCCCGCCAAATTACCATAATGGATGTTATCCAAGAGATAATGCCGCAACGCGTAGGTCTAACCTGAAGTAATGTGAAAAACAATCTCAGGCTCTTGCCTAGCATCTTAGCAAAAAATATATATTATTGGAGGGTGATTGTACCTTTTATAGTAGTAGTCGCTTAATTATGGGCGTCTATGATTCTCACTTATTTGTACCTAATTTTCAATACGCATTTTGGCTTGCCATTGTCAAATATTTTTACTATTGAAATAGGTAGATGGGCGATAACACAGTAATGGGTATAAAGTTACTTGTTTAATTATAAAAACAAAGGAGGATTAAATTATCTCACTAAGTTTAATATATTAAACTTAGTGAGATAATTTAATCCTACCTACACTATAGTGAATAGGTATGTTAATTACTGTATTGAAACAGGTCTATCGGTAGTCGGTCTAAGTTATTTATTTGTGTATAAGCAAGATAACTAATATTGGCAACGTATAAGAAATTTTAAATGTTCAACAAGGAAAGGCCAATAAAATAATTTGTTTTATTCACTAGCGCTTTTGAATGGAAACCTAGTTTCTGAAAGCGCTAGTGAATAAAATTAATTATTATGTATTAGCCTTGTAGAACATTTACATTTAGTTATAATTTCATTATAAGCAAGATGCCAATAATTATTCTCAAAAAGCTTAGACCATTAAAAATTAAATGAGAATTGGGATCTTCTCTTTTGGAAAACATGTTTGGGTACAATTGAAGATAGATAAATAGATGATAACGGTAACGTAGCCCACAGAAGTTACTTAAAATTTATTTTATAAAATAAAGGAGGTGCCAGAGGTTACAGTAAGTAAAGTAACACATACATGAACATAATCTGTAAAATTCTTCATTCAGTTACAGTAAAGTTTAGCGCGGGAGAACCGTTCCAGTTTCAAGTAGATTGTTGCAAGAGTTGCAGTGAAGATACTATAGGTCGGCCGCTTAGAAAGCGTCCTCCTCGTAGCATTGGTGCGAGAGAGAGATACCGAGCTGTGGGAGTGAGACAGAATATGGCTCTTCCCCCACTCCGCTACCACCCCACCATCACCCATTATTTTATTTTAACAAATCATATGTTTTCTTGTAATTTTCCAAAGACTTTCGAATGACAATCATTAGGAATCAGCATTGAATATATAACACTATTTAGTTTTATATATCCAATATAGCGTTGTATTCAACATTGAATGAATATACTGTAGTAGTGTTATACAATATAACACTACTATAGTTAGTTGTATTGTACAGTTATATGGTACCATTTAACCGAAAAACAGTAAAGCAGTAAATACTTGATTGGCTGATTGGAGCCCATTGGAGGGGTGGGGGATGTGCGTGCACACACCTTCTTCTATACGCCTAGCCATCCTGGGTCCAGAGGTATTACCGTACTACGGTAATAGCTTATACCCTTTATAGGAAATTCACTAAAAGGCCGTCACTAAGATGTGTGATCGTTGGTGGCAACGCCATTATAATTGCAATCACGTTATATGCGTCTTACACAATCGTGGCAACATCAGCGATAATCTCCTGCGATTATCTCAGCTTTCATGACTCTTTGTGATTGCGGCCATATCTTAATCGCGGCGAGATTCGTGATGATTGTCCCTATCGCGGCAACAGCCATTGCGGTGGGTCCTGTATTCGTGATTGTTTGCTGTGGTCATGATTTTCCACTTCTTAAAGCGAAGAGAAGCTTCTTATTCGGTAAGCGTCTAGTAAATCTTTGAAGTTATTAAGAAAAACCATAGTCCGAGGGGATCCTATGGGTTTAGTAGTTTAGTGCTTGGGTTTAGTGTATGTCATTTTAGTGTAATAAAATCTCGACAACTTACGCTATATGTCGTTTTGTGCTGTTTTTGTTAAATATTTGTAACTATTTATTTTCCACTAAGGCTACTTAAATGAGAGATTTTCAATTATATAAAACATAAGTAGGAGCTGCAAAAAAGGTTCCGTCGTGATTATCTGTATGGATAACACCATTAAACAGATTATTATTCTAACTAATCTGTAGGGATGAAAATTAACCTTAAAATTCGTGTAACTGAGCAGTCAGACATTTTCGGCAAGCCTCTTGTTTTCGGGCGGGCCTGCGAGGGACTGTTTTCCACAGCAGTACGAACTCTGTCGAATGTTCATTGTCTGGCATCCGATCTGACTTTGGTCGGCCTTTCAGCTTCCTTTTCAACGCAGAAGCCGTTGTTCTAAAGTTAGTAACCCACCGCATTATTGTTATACGCAACGGAACTTCTCCATGTCGCCTTACGTTCCCTACCGACCGTCACACTACTCTGTTACTGAGGGATGAGTATAGTTGGTATACTAGTGTATAGTAGTGTTAATTGAAAGAACGCACGAAACTGCTTATGCTGCTGAGTTGCAATGAATGAATTCAATACTTTTTAAAAACAACTCCATAACAACCTCACGTAGCTCAGGCGACCACTGCTCTGTGACTAGAAAAAATGGCAAATAGTGTTATATATTCAATGCTAGTTCGTAATGATTGTCATTCGAAAGTCTTTGGGAAACTACAAGAAAACATATGATTTGGTAAAATAAAACACGTTCAGCTAGCACGTGACGTCACTATGCACACATTTTGTGAAAACAGCAATTGGCGGAGAGGGGGAACGTACCCTCCCTCGCCATTACCTCCAAAAATTTCGCGCAGGTCGTTTTCTAAACGGCCGACCTATAGTGTGATTTTCTGAAACAGCTGCAGCTGTTACAAGTGCTACGAATAACGCTTACTTGCGCATGCGCAAACGCGCGACATTTTCCGGTCTTGAAAGGCTGCACAATTTGTTTTTCAGGATTAATTTTGCCAACAGTGTCATTTAGAGGCTTCTGATTGACTATAATATATGTTTACTAATTGAAAAATTAGTTTTGTTCATAGAATAAAATTATAAATGCCTCAAATTCAATTTTATATATTTTTTTTTGTGAAATTAAATCGTCATAACCTAACCAAACCAACCAAACGTGCTGACAATGAAAAAATCTAATGAAGGTTTATTAATCGAAAAAAATAGTTGTGTTCATAAAATAAAATTATAAATGCCTCAAATCCTATTTTATAATTTTTTAATTTAAAATTAAAATATCATAACCTAACCAAACCAACCAAACGTGTTGATAATGAAAAAGTCCAATACAAAAAATAGTGCTACGGGTGGGATTCGAACCCAGGTACTTCGGATTTTCAGCCCAGCACTCTATCCACTACACCACCGAGGCCGATGACATCAATCGTATCGTCGCGGTAATGATGTTCCCTCAGCCAATCAGAAGCCTCAAAATAATACTGTAGGCAACACTAAACCTGAAATAAAAATTCAGCTGAAAGGCTCGCTGCTTGACGTGTTTTAAAAGAGTCAGTAAACGGAGTGAGAGTGACTATTGAACTGAACTGACTCTGACTCAATGAATCACTGACTGACGACTGGACTGACTGTTATGTCAGTGTGAGTGGTGAGTCGTTTTGTTTGAGGTTAATTTTGCGAAACTCAATTTATTATCGTAGGTTTAATGTTAGTTTCATATTTTATTGTTAAGATTATCTTCAGCATTTAATTTAGGTGTAAGAATGAATGTATTCGAAATTTTCAAGCGATTTTATACGCTTATAATTGCCTAAATCTAGGCCAAAGTGAAAGTGATAGCAAGAAGTAAAGCCTACTCGTCCTATCTAGGCTTAGGCCAGTCTGTTTCCAGGTCCTTAAAACATTGCATATTTCCAATTAGTGTCCACATAACTTGCCATCATGCCGAGGATTATGATAAAAGGTGGTGTTTGGAGAAACACAGAGGTAAGTACCTAGTTTTTATTAGCCCTAGGTACTGTTAGTATATTTAAACTCGGTTCGTCTGCAATTAGGCCTAAGTTAAGTGTTGATTGAGCTATGGGGGGTACAGTTTCTTATCTGGGCTACGTTAATATCGATTGAAACTATCGATCGATTAAGTTAGTAAACCTTCATGCGATTTTTTCACCATCAGCAAGTTTGGTTGGTTAGGTTAGGTTATGATAGTTTTAATTTTATAATAGATATATTTTAAAATATCAATTATTAATCAATATTTTCAATTCAATAGTTTCAATCGATATTAGCGTAGCCCAGTTAAGAAACTGTACCCAGTTATTGGTTGCACTTTAGTTTACCTCTTTACCTTTTACCTTCGATCGATGTCTTCACCACAATCCATAGATCAGGCAATCATCATAGTTCTTCAGTCTGGACACCCTTTCGCTATATTTTCACGAAGTGAGCTGACATAACGTATGTGTGTGTATGAATGTTCTTCATGTACTCATTGATATTGTAATAAGTTATGGTCTAAACTTCATTTGTGCAACTAGTGAGCAAAGTGAGCAATTGACTCACTCAAGAGAAATACTTACTCTCGAGCCATAGGCGAGTGAGGAATGGTTTCTCGAGTGAGGCAATTGCAATTTGCACTCGAGTTGCACATTATATTTTTCCTACAGATAAGTTACCATAAAACAAATAATTTGGTAAAAAAAAACATAACATATTTTTACACAGAAATGAACTTTTATGACATTTAATGATACAACAGTACAATAGCTGACCAGCAGATTTACAGCCAGTGCTGCCAACGTATTTCGCGCGCATAAAAACTTGTCTGCACGTTACGCCCTCACTATTTCGTTCCTTCACAAATTTTTCACAAAAGATGATTCCGACTGAGATTCTGAATGGAAAAGACGGCAAGGGCCTCAAAAAACTGCACATTTGCTTTCAGAGTAGAAGAGCCATGCTCTATTTTGATTTTCCCCATTTTCTAAATGTCTATAAAAATGTGCACTTGAAAGACTCCAAAAACGGTTGCCATATTCCTTCTTTGCCTTTGAGAAATTTCCTTCTTTATTTTGAATTATCCCATGTTGAGACACGTAATCACGTAGGCCTAGTTCATTATTTACAACCCAGTTTGCTGGATCGGGATCAAAACAAAATGGTTCTAGTGGTGTTGGCTTATCAATGCTATTGGAAGGGCTCTCAGGGTCGGGGTCTCTCTGTGGTTCGGATTCAAATGTTAAAGATCTTGTGTCCGGTTCCGTTTCTGTTCCTGTAGTAAAATACTGCATATGAACAGAGGTACTAGTAGTACTAGGAGTACTGGTACCTATCCAAAAATAAACCGTCATCTTTTTTGGTTTGGATCTTATCTTGTTCTTTAGATAGCCAATTTTTCATTGTCCCAGAGAACTTCTTGCTCTCTTCTGTTTTCAATTTAGCTCTTTTTCTGAATTCAGCCCCAGATGGGCGTTTTTTTGGTTGGCTCATTTTAATACCTGCATAAAAACCACAACATTATTAGTACCACATATAACAAGGAATTGGATGTGATTTGGCTTTAATTTATTCTTTGATTCAATGATTTTTTTAAACTAGGTATAGACTACGGTAAGCAATAAAATGCTTAAACATACGCTTGTAAATTTAGTTACACATACTTCGTGATGTAATGACATATTTAATGTGTATAATAATACTTAAATGCCAGAAACTCAGTATCTAAATCCCGTAAACTGATGCCTATTATAGCTGGCCAGCCCCTTGCGCCAATGCCGCGCCAAGCGATTTTAGGCCTATTTTTAATCGCTTAAAAATTATACAAGCAAACTCCGTATGAAAAAAAAACTTCAAATAAAAATAAAATTCATACTTTAATCTAAAACTTTGCCACAGGAATTTTTTCCTGACCAAAAAATAAAAAAGTTCCTCGCTTACTACATTTTTAATGTTTTTAGTGGTGTTAAAAAACGATCATCAGTTTTAATTTGCCTAAATAAATTATAAAAATATGTTAAATAAGGTTAAAACTAACTACATAGTAATAATCACTGGGTTTTCCAGAAAAATAACATATCAATTTGAAATTTTTATGTTAACAAATAAGTGTAGGAGAGCAGGTTGAGTGAATGTATGTTTGTGCAAAACAGATAGGTTCATTCGGCCCGTCCGCCTCAGTATCCCGCCAATTCGACTGGTGGGCACGGACCGTTTATCCACCACACTCCATGCAGCACGCTATCCAGTAGAGTATTATACATCGAACTTCGATCTCATCACTCAATAACCAAATTATATTGGGTATTTTTTTAATTGTTTTACAAACTTACCTTAGCGGTTTGGAAATGGGTAGAATCCAACAAGAAGAATACTTCGTAATGCACAACAAAATTACACGATAACCTAACCTCACACCACGTCACCACACGCACTTGATAGCTTGTTACTGTTCACACTCACAGAGGGCGCGGGTTCGGCGGTGTGATGTGTACCTGTACTAAAGGAGGGAGGGACGATCTATTATTAGCAGTGACTTGTGATCGTGAGTCATTCACCGGGCACCCCCCCCCCCCTCCCCCCACCTACACTTCACTTATCTTTCGAGGCAGCGCCCGACGCTCGCTACTGACGCTCGTCTAGGAAAATAAAAATATACAAAATTTTTTTTGCCATCCCTTGCCCTGCGCCCCCCGCAAGCTTGCGCCCTAGGCCATGGCCTAGGTTGGCCTTATGGGTAATCCGGGCCTGAGAACCCCATGCTGCAATGCCATATCTCAAGTGTGCGAAGATGGAGTGGTAGGCTATCATTGTAGTGTCCAGATCGGTGGTGTTTCGGATTCTACGGAGTAGGCTACAAAGAGTGCGGTAGACAGTTGTTTACTAAGGTAAGTTTATCAGTATGGATCTGTCAGCTTAGGTTTTCATCAATGTAGATTCCCAGGAATTTTTGTGAGTTGAGCGTGGGAATGCACAGTCCGGACCAATCTTCTGTTCTTTTATCGTTATTATTTATTCGAAAGTTGATATGTGTACTGTTTTGTTCTTATTAATTCTGAGGTTTATTATCTTCACAGGCTGTTGTTGCTTGATCCATTGTTGATTTTACTAGATTAATATTGTCCGCTTGACTATTTGTTGGAACAACAATAGTGGTGTCGTCGGCAAAAAGTATGCCCTGTCAAAACTGGAGGGGAGGCTGATAATGTAACCTATATGATGAAGAGGAGGGGGCCCAATATAGTTTTAGTGATGTGTCAAAACCGAATCTCTAATCTCAAAACCATCAAAACTTAGGAAAAGTTTCGGTTTCGAGATTCGATCACCAAGTTTCGAGATTCAAAAGTTTCGAAATTGAAGATTTTGGCAGTTTTATTTTTGAAACTGCTGACATTTTTTTGTTCCATTGTTATTGTTTTTAACACTGTTTCCAAACAAGCTGGTAGCAACAGAGCAAACATCACCATTAACAGTAATGAAACATATTTTATCCTGAACTTCAAAAGGTATCTTAAATACTATAACTGGTACAATTCAGTTTCACATCAATATTTACTAAACGCAAAGAAATATTGACCTTTAAATGTTCTAATTAATCTAATTCATGTTTATGTTGGTGTTAGAAGTTTAATTTATTTTTTTTGTTGGTTGTTTATGAAAAATTATGTTGTATTGGGTTTTAAGATTATCAGTCACATTCACATATTTATGTTATGTCACGGTCAGGAGTCAATCTCTTTTAGTTTTGATTGCATACTTAACATTTTATGATTATGTGTATTTTTTGTAACCTTGACCTTTGTAACCAGCTAAGTAAAAAAGTTTCGCGTTTAGGTTTTGAGATTCGAGATTCGGGATTCGATTTTTAAAGTTTCAGTTTTGGTTTTGAGATTCGAAATTTCTGGTTTTGACCATCACTACAATATAGACCCTTGGGGAATTCCTCTTGATGTGTTTCTAAGAGATGATTTGGTGGTGTAGGCCTAAATGGTGTTGTTGTGTTGACTTTCAATTTCTCAAGCAGCATAACCTATGTTATTTAATGATGAATAAAGATTTGATTTGATAACTGCCGATCCATTCCAGGGCATTGCCTTGGATATTTATGCTGATTAATTTTATTCTGAGGATATCCCAGTCAAGTGTGTCGAATGCTTTCTGTAGATCAAGGAAGATTCCAGAGGCATTTTTTCTTTCTTCCCAGATATCGGTGATATGAGTGACTAATTTTGAGATTGCAGTAGTGGTGCTGAGGGTCTTCCTGGAGCCATGTTGGCATACGGAGAGGAGGTTGTTGGAGTCCAGGTGCGTGATGATTTGGTTGTATATTGCTCTCTCCAGGAGTTTGGAGATAACCGGCAGATTAGAAATGAGTCTGTAATTGTTTGGGTCTCTAGCTTCACCTTTCTTATATATAATGGATAAATTTTAGAAATTTTGAGTTTTTTAGGGATTTTAGCCAGTAGGCCTACCGTACGGTAGGCCTACTTTTAATATTGTCTCATTTATTATGTAGGTATCTAATTGGTTTCTTTAATTCTTCCTAATAAAACTTCAACATTTTTCCTGTTATTGTGTCAAAGCCTGATGAGTTATTTGCCTTTAGGCTCTTGAAGAGATTGTCCAGTTCTTTTTCAGTTATGGGCCGAAAGGAATGCAATGCTGGTATTTTGTTGGTGTGGTCAGGTATTTGTGTTAGATCTGGTGTTCTATCCAGGTTTGGAGTGGAGAGGGCAAACTGTTTGTTTAAAAATGTTACTATTATTTGTTAAAATATGGTAATGATCAGAAATGGTTTCATTGTTAATATGTAGGTTGATGTTGCTTTTTCATGCAGTCGTTTAAGGCGCTCTGTATTGAGTATTGATGATTCCAGATTTCTTTGCTCTTATTATCACTACTATTTGTTGTTAACATCTTCTTTAGTATCTTAGGCATGGTTTCATCAATAATAAGTTGAAAAGTTGTTAGAAAATTGTTGTCTATTGTTGTTTCCCTCGTCATACTGCTCTAATAAATCTTATGCAGCTTGGTTTTTAGTCTATTTAAATTTTGATTTGAATAACTGTGTATAGGCCTAGATTTGTATGTGGCACCTGAGTATTCCAATTTACTATTAATTTCACCGGTTAGGAGGTAGTGATCTGATATAGGCTATCATGTTATGTGCGTTTACTTTGATGTCCGCTCTTTGGATATTTGTATAACATCCGTCAATGCTAGTGACTGTAGTAGGGGTGACTCGTGTGGCTGCAAGGGGATAGACATAGCATCCATGTTGAAGTAGGCCCTAATAAGTCGTTGAGTTCCTTTACGTGTGGGTCGTCAGCTCTCAGAATATTAAAACTTGTATCACCTAAAATGACAATTTAGCTTTTTTTTTACTATAAGAATGCAGAAAATTTTCAAGTTTGTTGAGGAAGCTATAAGTGCTTGAGGCAGGGGATCTGTAGGCACTCAATCTTACTAATATTGCTCTTTTTATTTTAATTTTGACTGCAATTGTTTCTAATTCCAATTCTGTTGGCCGGCAGAGGCCCAGCTCGAATAAGTTTGTCTCTTCTATTTCAGTCTTAAGGTTATTCTTTCTAAAAAGCGCTATACCCCCCCCCCCACATATAATGGGTTCGACAGAAGCTGCCACACAAAGTGTAGCCCCTAATATTTACAACAGTAATTTCATTAGCTTTTAGCACATACTCCGATATGATAAGGAGATCATGTGCATGCGTGTGAAGTTCTACCATTAGAAGGTCAATTTTGTTTAGAAGACCTCTTTGTATGTTTAAATGTAGTATTTTGAGATTGCCTGTTTGCTTGAGTCTATTCTGGTTTTCTATTGTAATAGGATGGTGGGTGGGGTAGTGGACTGTTGGTTTGGTCTATTGATATGACTATATTCAATGTTCAGATGAGGAGCTGCTACACCGTTTGGGTGGAGGTCTTAGTCTTGTTGGGCAAGTCCCTATGTTAAGAATTCCTTTTATTTTTGTGCGCCATCTTTGTTTAGGGGAAATCCGTCCTAGTCCAAATGTGTTTTTTTATCAATGGCTTTTGTATTATGAATTTAAGTTTGAGTTGGTTACACTTGAATTTGATCGCTTTGTTGGTCTTGACAATGAATAGCTTACAGCCATCCCTGTGCCATTCAGTAGTTGGGAAACATTTTTGAGCTACCCCCTACCCCCGCTTCCCCTAAGGGCAAAATTTTCAAAACTGACCATGCAGCCCTTCATATCCAAACTAAGTTAGTTGCCGCAAACCGATTTCAAATATCTCAAATAGTTAAAAAGTTAAAGGGGGTGCAAGTTAGTTTTGAGCCACCCTCATGGTTATTTGGATTTGAAACGTTTTAGGGCGCCATTTCGTTAATAGTGGGCCGATTTTGGTTTTCTTTATGTCAATGTTTATGTTTCATCAAGACCTGTAAAATTATACCAAACTCGACTATACTTGTTATTTGAAAATTTTGAGCTACCCCCTACCCCCACCCCAAGGGCAAAATTTTCAAAATTGACCATAATTTATTATTGTAGCCCCTCATATCTAAGAAGGTTGCCGCAAACAGATTTCAAATATCTCAAATGGTTGAAAAGTTAAGGGGGGGTGTAAGTTACTTTTCAGCCACCCTGTATATATGTATAGATATACAGGGTGACAAAAAAGTCTGGAAATGGCTAGATATCTTTTTAACTAAATTCGTTAGAAAATTCAAACCTTTCACATCAACTTATATGTATGAAAACTACTTTTTGCAAGCATTTACCATTTTTTTACCTTCACCAGGGGACGACCCATGAGGAGCAGGTACATAATCTTTAATGTAAGCATAGGTTGATATGCACATAATTTTAAAGGGTTAGTCAAGTAGAGTTCATTGCCGGAAACCGCGTCAAAAAGGTTCATCCGTTACAAAATGGCGGCAGTCCAAAGTTCTTGCGGAGTATACCTGCACAGGCCTTAGTATTGGTAAATACTCTTAGTCAAAATTAGCCGGGAAATCTGAAACCCGGTTAAATTTGTTTTGAAGATTGAATAAACTTAGTCTATGAGCTAGTTGACTTTAAAATACAGTTTCAGCTCTCAATCTAATGTTAAATTAGATCTAATGTTAAGGGTTTCAGATTTCCCGGCTAATTTTGACTATGAGTTTTTACCAATACTAAGGCCTGTGCAGGTATATTCCGCAAGAACTTTGGACTGCCGCCATTTTGTAGCGGATGAACCTTTTTTGACGCGGTTTCCGGCAATGAACTCTACTTGACTAACCCTTTAAAATTATGTGCATATCAACCTATGCTTACATTAAAGATTATGTACCTACTCCTCATGGGCCGTCCCCTGGTGAAGGTAAAAAAATGGTAATGCTTGCAAAAAGAAGTTTTCATACATATAAGTTGATGTGAACGGTTTGAATTTTCTAACGAATTTAGTTAAAAAGATATAAAGCTGTTTCCAGACTTTTGTCACCCTGTATATATATAGCCGTGAACACGATGATAACTTGAGTCATTTTTGTCCGATTTTGATGAAATTTGGTCTGAAGGTGTAAGGCGGGATAAACTTGAATGAGTTCGCGAATCAGCATGATCGGACCATGAGAGCGGGGTTTTATGGGGTATAAATTGATTTTTCTAATTTTTTACCCTTTATACACAAAATTTCCCAATTTCTCTCCAGACCTTTTTGAAGAGCTTAAAAAGCAAATAATTTAGTATATCAAAGTGTTTTTGTACAATTATTGGTACAAATCCTCATGCTTCTCTTTCAGGATGAAATACTCAAGGCTGCTGTTATGAAATATGGCAAAAATCAGTGGTCGCGTATCGCTTCCCTGCTACACAGAAAATCAGCCAAGCAGTGCAAGGCCCGTTGGTTTGAGTGGCTTGACCCAAGTATCAAGAAAACTGAGTGGAGTCGAGAAGAAGATGAAAAATTGTTGCATTTAGCCAAACTGATGCCCACACAATGGCGCACCATTGCACCAATTATTGGTAGAACTGCAGCTCAGTGTTTGGAACGCTATGAGTATTTACTGTAAGTCTTGTTCTTTGAATTTCAGTTTTAACATATGAGTACCTACGTTTTAAAAATATTGGCAAGATGATCAACAAAATCTAAAGTAGCCTAATTAAAATCCTTTTTCTTCTATAGGCCTAGAGGTAGTTTACAATTATATTTACAGTCTGTTCTTAAAATTAATTAAATTTGGTTTATTGTTGTTTATGATATTTTATTTATTAATTTGTTATGAGTAAGGATTTATTGTTATATAAAAGCCTAAATATTTGTAAAAAAATATATATAGGCCTATATTTATAATATTTTTTCTATATTTGTTTTAGCTTTAAACAATTTATCCTTAAAAATAAGTGGGTATAAAACTTGTTTAGTTGGTCAACCGATGATGTGTATAATATCTATTTAGGTCTACTGTGTTGTTACAGAGATCAAGCTCAGAAGAAGGAAGAAGGAGAAGATGGTGCTGATGATCCTAGAAAACTTAAGCCTGGAGAAATTGATCCAAACCCAGAAACCAAACCTGCACGTCCAGATCCCAAGGATATGGATGAAGACGGTAGGCCTAAAATGGAATACTTTAAGGTTTCATTTTTTTTTTTCAAGATGACTTTTGTTGTTGGCTAACAATTTACACTTAAATACTGAATCATTAAAATAGTAGCCTCTCTAAGTTTTTAGTGTTCCGTATCTGGGACAAGTAGGGCAATGGTCATTGTAGAAGTAAGCAAATTTTATTTTTTTAATCGTTGTGATTTGAATACAAATAAAAGGTTTGTTCCATTCATTAAATCAATAAATCCATTAATCTATACATAATCATTGACAAAAATAATTAAATATAGGCCGAGAGCCGTGCTGCGGTTAGCATACGTTCTGGCATCCACCACTAGGAGTGCCGTGTAGTTACGGCACACACTGCTGTAGCGCCTGCTGGTAGCATACGCCGAGGAGCCGACGACGGCAGCGAATCAAACCCTGAGCACGCTCTAGTGGTCGACAGTCTATATATTTATTCTATTTGTCTATGACATTAACTATTTGGAAAGGGTTATTTTGTAAACAAAACTTCTACACTTTTTAACAAATTTTGGAGTTTTTGGTGTAATTTTAAAGAAATTACTCTGAAATTATGCAACCCTTAAAATGAGCTAAATGTGTGGTAAGGTCTTTGCCTCATTGGCGACAAAGTTGCCGTGTTAATCATATGGAATAACCAGCTTTTTTGCACGCTCTTTGCTTAGGTAGAATTTTTAATAAAAAAATATATTTACCACTTTTGAAATAGCCTATAGCAGTAAAAATTTTGATTTAAAATTCAATGAGGAAAATTAACTACCAAGTAAATGGTATTCTGTATATACTTTTTTGTCCTAATGCCTTTAAAGGTGGAAATGAAACCATAGGTGGGGTAATGGGTAGGGGGGGGGGGGTAATGGGTAGGGGGGGGGGCAATGCCAAGATTTGTCCTATGATTTATTTTTTCACCTGATGGTAAAATAGCTATTTAAATTACAAGTATAGTAAGAGCGTTTTTACATCACGCAGGTGAATGTTGAATTCTCCTAAGTGATGTAAACAAGCTCTTGCGTAACGTGTAATGTACAAGATTTTACCTGACCCGGCAATATACAGGAGGTTACGAAAAATATTTTTCACTATCCATTTCACTCATCTTCTAACAGTAACGTTAATTTACAAACAAAAGCTAGGTTAGGAAAATTCTTCAAAGCATAACAATAAAATTTAAGCGCACAGCTGGTTTCTAGCGTTGAACGTCGTTGACTCCATCATAGAGGTATATTTTTTTAAGTTAAGCACTCAATGTTATTTAAATGGGTTTTATTACCTCACCGAGTGAGTTTTTTCAACTTTACATCACTCGTGAAGTAAAGAAGTAGTATACATCACGCTTGGGATAGGGAAGTTTAACATGGGTTAGGTAAAGAATATTTTTATTCACAAATCAAAAAATAAATTAATTGTCAAAATATAAAGTAAGGTTAAATCACATTTTTGAAGGAGTGTGTTGGGCCTTTTTGGTTTTGTTTCATATTCTGGTTAAGAGAGTAGAATGACTGTTCCATGCATGACTTATAACTTTTGCGTCCTATGTGAGTCCTAGTTGTTGTAAGAAGCACAGCACCGTCTGGCCAATGATAACGCACTGTGGTTGCTATACAACCATTTAAGTTACTTACAACGTACAGTAATCCGATAGCCGGTCCCATCATCCTACCACTGTGTCTCCGTTACTTCATCTGTCTTCATTACATCATTGACGTAGTGTTTATATTGGAGCACATACTAAATTATACTGTTTGAGTTTGATGGATAACTGTAGGATGGTTAGATTTCACTTGTTGTATTAATGAAGTTTATAAAATGGAATGTGATAGGCTATAAATTGAATTGAATTTCAGAATTGATAAAGTCAAGAAAGGTTGGAACACGTAATCCATCTCCACCAAACAGGATAACTAACTGGATCTCTCTTTGTCTATAAGAGGCCAAAACTTGTTGACAATTACTCATTTGGTCTCACTCAATTAAAAGAAACTTTCCACAAAATTATGGTTAGGATGAAAAATCATAGTATTGCCACCAATTATAAGAAATAGAGCTACCCGCCATATAAGAACTTATCATCGTTCCTATATGAGAAACTAGATTGTGTAACATCTATATAAACCTATATATGTAACAGATTGTGTCTAACAGAAGCTAACCAAATCTTACGTACCGGTATTGAAAGAAAGGTTAAAAATCCTTCTCTCGTCATTTATAGGACCACCACAACCTAAGAACCCAAACTACCAGGATGCAACGGTTTGTAAAACTCTTTATTCATGGCAAATACATGTTATCCTGGGTGATACAACCAAGAATTTCAATTTGTCACCTGAAGAGTCGGCATATTTCAGACTTGATCTATATAATTAATATGCAAACACGAAGTTTGTCGGTTGAACTCCTCCGCCATTTCCTAACCGATTTTATCCATTGTCGTCTCATTGGAAAGAGCGTGTCGCATAGATTTGCAAACTGACCTCACATTTTTGAAAAAGACCCTTGGGCTCTGCCCCGGTGGCTTTTAAATTTCCCATGTTATCCTTATGAAGAACATATTTGTTTACATTATGATCAGCTGGACATTTAATTGCTGTTAATATTTCAGCTGCAATTCAAAGAAATGCGTCCTACGAAAATTAAATCTTTAAACATTAAATCATTGAAAGAACCCACTTGCAAATTATGGAAACATAAAAAGTCATAGAACACCACCAAGTAGAAGAAATAGAGATAATATTTTTTAAAGAACTTATATTGTTGTACAGTGATACAGACAGCTTTGTGTTAGTAAACAAATCGGGGTTGTACAGTGATACAGACTCCTTTGTGTTAGTAAAAAAATCGGGGGGAAATCGGTCCCTTACATGGATACAGACAGCTTTGTGTTAGGAAAAAAATCGGGGTTGTACAGTGATAGACTCCTTTGTGTTAGTAAACAAATCGGGGTTTTACAGTGATACAGACTCCTTTGTGTTAGTAAAAAATCGGTGTTGTACAGTGATACAGACTCCTTTGTGTTAGTAAAAAAATCGGTCTCTTACATGGATACAGGCAGCTTTGTGTTAGGAAAAAAATTTGAAAAAATCGGATCCATCAAAACCGGATCCAGCCCAAGATCCGGAATGTTTTGGATCCGATCTGGTGCTGGTTCTAGCTCGGATCTGGCGGATCCGGTAGTCCGATATCCGGATCCGACTATCACTAGTTATTAGCCTTTATATTGTAGAACACCTACAAGATTCAAATTCCTACAAACAATGAATGAGGATGTTACCCGAAGTGCTACAATTTTAAGGATGAAACATGGACTTAACTTTGTGATCATTGCAGAGGAAAGCCCTCTAAGGGCAAATAAATCTGGTATGTCAATGACATCAATCAATGTTTCCATAAAAGTAAAGTGATTTTAGAATAATAGCTATAATAGCCTATGAAAATATCCAAGAAACCCTGACTAACATTTTTATTGAAGGCACTAGCAGAGTACCCGTCCTTCGAGGGGTTGCAATATAAGTATAAAATGCTTATTGCAGTTATACTCAAGCTTTGCGTTTTCAATAAGGGAGGACACAGTTTGATAAAATTTGCTTTTTTAAATTTACAGTATTCTATAGTATTAAGCTATGGTTCCACAGAATGCGGAATCTCCGCCATGCGGTGCGATTTTTTCCACTGCGGAATTAAAACGACACTGGTTTAATGGAGTTCCTATGTGTGCGGTTCCACTGACGTGCGTTTCCGCATCCATTTTTGTTGTAATGTCTAACTTACATATTCACATTGCCTGCCTAATTTGTTGTAACATATGGTTTATGTTATATTTCTATATTGTTATGAGTTTGTTTATAGTTGACCTGTTTACATTCAGTATTCTATCTTATTCCCAATTAAATTAGTTTCATGTTAACTAAACTAATTATTTTATATAATCAGAGTAATTACCGCTGCAGCTCAACTCTGCTATTTCTACAACATCAGGTTATGGGCCTCCTGTTTGCTGAATTTTAATTTCTCTGATTATTTTGTCCAAGTTCACCAACTTTGAAAATGTATCAACCTCCTTCAATAGAGAAATTGAAAGGCCGTGAAAACTATGATACATGGAAAGTTGCCGTTCAAGCATATTTGGAAGATTGTGAGCTCTGGGACTGTATTTTGGGAACTGAAGAAGATGGAAAGAAAGTGACAAAATATAAATCCAAAATTATCTTGCTAATTGATTCAGCTAACTATATCCATGTTCAATCAGCAGAAACAACCAAGGAATCCTGGGAAAATTTTGAAAAGGCATTTTCTGACAGGGGTTTGACCCGAAGAGTTGGTTTGCTGCGATTGTTAACAACAACAAGGCTAGAAAATTTGTAAGTCCATAGAAGATTATGTTAATCAAATTGTGTCAACGGCCCACAAGCTAACCAACATTGGACTGAAAGTGGATGATGAGTGGGTAGGAACAATTTTACTTGCTGGACTACTGGATCAATTCCAACCAATGATCATGGGTATTGAAAGCTCTGGTGTCAAGATAACGGCCGATTCAATCAAAACTAAACTACTTCAAGATGTATCCGTGGAAAATGAATCTTCCAAATGCATTGCGATGTACGGTTATGGTCGAAGAGAAAATTCAAAACCAAGTTTTCAGAACAGCCAAAGACACAACACTTCAAGTCAAAAGAAACCCACTGATGACAAGAAACGTCAAGATAGCAAAGGTTACAAGGGTCCTCGATGTTTCTAATGCAACGGTTATGGTCACATATCAAGGAACTGTGACAAATCCAGGAACATCAGCACGAGAAATGAAAGAGACAGTTGTAAGTCTAAACAGGACAATTCACTCTTTGCTGCCTTCTAAATGCAAACAGATGTAAGTAGTGATTGGTATCTAGATTCAGGAGCTAGTGCTCATTTATGTGTTGACAGTGTGATACTTGAAAATAAAAGGAAATCTCCACAATTGAGTACTACCACCGCTAATCATTC